GTGGGGGGGGGGGGGGGGGGGGGGGGGGGGGGGGGGGGGGGGGGGGTTAGAGGTCGCGCGATGGTCGGAAAAAGTGCGAGCGAACAGCTGAAAGCGACGATACATGAAAAATCGGCACTTTACCTTGAAATTGGTGCTGACGCGCTTCTCACGCCTCGAACGATCGCGCGTCATCATTCACCAGCCTGCCCGTCCACCTCGCTGTCAAGCGTGCATGGAGTATTTTTCTTACACGGTCTGTTGCACACATGACACACCAGGGCGAGGCTGGAGTCTCGCACTTCGAGCTTGCCGACCTCTGCTTGGCGTGCACGCGGTGTGGGTGGCATTGCGCCGCATCGGTCGGGACTGAGGCGGGCAACGGCAGCGGCGGCGGCGGCGGCGGCGGCGGCGGCGGCGGAGGGCTTTCCGTGCACGTAGGGATCGGCTGCGGGCGGGTCAGCTGCTTTCACGTCGGAAGCGACCGGCTGGGGTGGCAGCTGGTCGTTAGCGGTGGGCTCTTCGAGAACCAGGTGCGCCGGGCACTAGGTGTTGCTGTGGCACGAAAAATGGGAGTTTTTTTTTCGTAGGTTTCTTGTCCATCTTGAGGCTTGATAAGCCTTCACCTCTGCGGTGAGGGATGGGATCGTATCTTGTTCGTCGGTGTTTACGCCGTAAACGTCGACAACGCTGTCCGTTGAAGACTCTGAGCCAATGCTCTTCGGAAAGGGGCGTGCTAGTTGAAATCGTTTTGTTGCACGATACACGTGCTTGGATTGGGTATTTGGATTGGGTATCTGGCTATAACTGACGTCGCTTTCGAGCATCCGGTGAGGCAAAGGAGGTCGGAGAGGTATCATCCTAACAGAGGGTATCATTCTCGAAATAACCGATATGCCACGTGGGTGAGCTTCTCTACTATTTGAAAATATTTGTCTGTTCATCAACAAAACCTACTGGTCAATGGTGCTCCATGGCGAGTCGCTGAAAGGCCCGCCAGAATCTCCGTTCGCCTCACGATATCTTGCGTAAGATATCACACCCCCTGGACTGATTTCCAAAGCTCGATTCCTCGACAGAAAGTGCAGGGATTGTGCCAATAATGGCGGCATAGGAAACCCGCGGTCGATGGCATTCCGAAACATAGTACAAGTTATTCTCCATCCTCTTCGTCGTAGAGTAGATGGACGTTGCAAATCGGTCCTGGGGCTGCAACACCTTGTTTTTTTATGTACGGTTCGTGTCGTAAGGCACCGCAGCCTTGCCGCCGTTGTTCACACAACTACTTCTCTAGCTTGTGCAAGCCGTGTTCATGCTCGTTTTGGTGCCGCAGGTTGCCAAGGCGCTAGACGCCTCCGGTGCCGGGGAGGTGGTCGTCTCCGACCAGGTGTGGCAGCACCTGGCGGGGACCGGCTGGGGTTCCAGCCCGGTACAAGGGAAAGTCGGATCCTCATACCCTCACGGGTTACGCCTGCTCCATTGGACACCCGGGTCTGGCCTAGGAGGGCCCGAAGCGGGCTGCTGGGACGACGACATCGACAGTAGCAGCAGCAGTAGAGCCGCTGCCGGGCGCGGAGGAGGGGGCGCGGCTTCGATGGCCCCTGCTCATGGCGGGGCAGGAGTGCTGGCAGGAGACGGGGGCGTCAGCAGCATCAGCAGCAGCAAGGGGGCTTCTGATTCTCCACCCCTGGTGCCCCCCCCCCACAAGATGGCGGTACCGCGGAGGTCTTCGTATTCGGCGGCGGCGGCGGGAGGCGGGAGAGGCATCCCAGGACCTTTGCACGGAAGATCGGTGTCGTTGGATCATCCTGCATCCGGTGCAGCGGGAGGGAGCGTCACTGCCGGCGGAAGGTTCGTTTCTTGTTTGCCCCGCACTGGCTGGCTATCAGGCGTCGCGGGGGGAGGGGGCACCGCGGTGCTGGTCGGTGGCAAGATAAGCTGGCTCATGCCCATAGCATACACGCCGCGCAGGTGTCCTCTCGAAAGGCGCACAGGGGTGACGATATACCGACGTCCCTACCCCCTGATTCATTTCCCTGGTGCGCGTTGGGCGCGAGGCAATCAACACGCGGAAGTGGGGTGACAAGAGAATGTGCTGTACTGTTAAGTCGCCCGGTCATTCGAATGCAGAAGTTCTAGAAGAGAGAGTGACAGATAGAGGGAGAGAGACGCGCTGACACGGGAGGGCTCGTGTGTGTGTGTGTGTGTATCTGTCTACCGCAGGTGGTGCCCTTCTCGCAGGCGGTTATCCCTCCTGGAGGAGGTGGAGACGGGGGTGATGACCATGCTCTCAAAGGAAGTCGGCCGGGCTCTGAGGGGCTACTGTCCGCAGTCAATCAGGGAAGGGTTGGTGAGTCGGCGTACCCCCACCCCCCCGTTGCAATCCGCGCCGTCGATCACGTAACGCTCTGTTGAAGGCACAGACCACTAAACGTGCAGAACGCGCTCGAACTTAAACGAAGGTGGCGGAGAGGCTCGGCCTCCTGGCAGAGCTTCAGAGGGTGGCCGTTCTCTTCGTCGGCCTCTCCTTCGAAGGCGTTGACAGCAGCATCAGCAAGTCACCCAAAATGCCGCAACCCACTGGAAACCCCGGGAGAATACACAGGGATTCGACGCGCCCCTCACCCGGGGGGAGTTCCATCGCCCTCCTGGCAGGCCCGGGGTTAGGGGATGCGGCTGCGGCGGCGGCGGATGGGAGCAGTCCGATGGAAACAGGTCATGGATGGGCGGGGGCGGCGGGGTATGATGCCGGCCCGAAGGAGAAGGAGAAGGAGAAGGAGAAGGAGAAGGAGAGCGATCGCGGCAAGGGTAGTGCGGCGGTGGCGGAGACGGCGAGTCGACCGGCTGTGTTGTCGCTTGAGCTGCTGCAGGGGAGCTTCTCGCTCCTCCAGAGCATCGTGGCGAGCCACAGGGGCGTGATCAAGGAGCTTTCCGTCGACGACAAGGGCACCGTGAGGAAGAACTAGAAGGGACTAGACACGTGACGTGACCTAGTTGGCCTGAAGAACACTTGCTCCGCGGCTCTCGGCCATGTGTCTTTCGGTGATCAGAATTGTGTCGTGTTTGCGGCGTTCACGCGCGCGCGCGTGCTTGTGCTGCACTGCGTTTGATTTGTCCAAGAACCGTTTGTCTCATCTGTACGCCCTCCCGCGTCTCCCCCCCCCCCCCCCCCCCCCCCCCCCCCCCCCCCCCCCCCCCCCCCTCTTTGTTGCTCCATGAGTAGGTTTTGATAGCGGGGTTTGGCTTGTCTCCGCAAGTGGGGCATCTTCCCGCCGCCCGTGCAACCCTCTGCGCGATGGAATGCACGGACAGGCTGCGGGCCAGGGGGCTCGCGCGGTGCCACGCGGGGGTGGCCACCGGGCCGGTGTTCTGCGGCTCTCTCGGCTCTGAAGACAGGTGACGCCGTTGTTGATATTGCTTCGCCACCTTCGGTTTGTGACCTTGCAACGGGTGTCCTATTCGATTGTATGGCTTTTGCTGGCGGGGCGTATTACCTGGGGGAGGCTCGAGGTTGTAGATCTCGGCCGTTTAGCTGTCCCTAAGAAGATATATACGAAGCTGTTGGTTGGGCGGGGTTTCTGTTGGTAGCCCTTCCCTATTGGTGGCGCGTTCACCCCTGTGCTGGCGGCCATCAACCATAGCTAGTCGATGGGCGATGCTGTGGTTGTCTGCGTCCTACGGCGACATCGATCAATCATAGTCCACGAGCGAGCTGTGGTTGTCTGCCTTCTATGACGACATCGATCAACCACTGTTTATCGACGAGCGATGTTTGTGGTGTTCTGCCTTCATGTTGACGTACGTCCGACCAGGCGGGAGTTCGCGATGATCTCGGAGACGGTTAACTTGGCACAGCGACTCATGAGCGCCAGGAAGAGCCGGCGGCTTCGGCCTAAGACCCAGGTGATGCACGCGTTTCCTACTGTACATGCTAATGATTAATCGTGACGAAGGGTCGGCCGTAGGCTGTTTTCTGCGACTACACGTATGGTCACCTGTGGCAACAGCCTCGTTCGTGGCCAACCTACTCGGATGAACGGGTGCCGCAGAACGCCTTCTACCACACACGAAAACTACCAACCCAGCACGAGGTGGTGGCCTTGTGTTTCGTGCAGCCTCGCAACTTCGCGAACTCTGTGCAAGCATAGGTTTTCCCCCCTCCTGACTTTGTTGGTCCGTAGCTTGTCTATTGGTTGTCAGTGCTGGTGTCGGTGGAAGGTCGACATGTGGCAGAACTGCATAGGATGCATTGCATCTGTTCCTCGCCACACCCCGTACCCGGCAAGGACGCGCGAGAGGAAACATGTCACTCCGCGTTTGTGTAGGCCGAACCGAATGCACACGAACCTGCTTCTTCCAGGCGGGCATGACCAGCAACAGCACCACCGGGAGCAGCACCGTCACCTGGCCGTCGCCGAAGGACCAGAAAGGGAGCGTCAGAGGTAGCGCTAACGTCAAGACGGCTGTAGACGGCGGGAGCGTCGGCAGCCCTGCCGCCGCGGTGGCGGCAAGAAGAATACCTGGAAATAGGCCAGACTCGGCGCTACAGAGGGGGGAACAGCAAGAGATGGACGCCGGCTTTACTCTGACGCCGTTGGCGACACCAACCTCGCAACGGAAGAAGCTAGGGGGGGAGGGGGGCACGGGGGAGGACTTGTGGGAGGGATCGTTCAATAGGTGGGTCGTGCTTGAAGCGGAGACTCTTACAGAGGCGAGGAAAACGGACCAGCTGGCATTCTTGGAGCTCGAGGCTATCAAGGTGGGCACTAGTTCGACGGTCCGTGTTGTGGCCCCGCGAGGCATTCGCTGTGGCGTGGGGGAGGGG